GCCTCGGGAAAACCCTCCCTCGGCACATCCCTCTGCTTCCGCGGAACAGGAGCTGGGGATGAGCAGCCTTTCAACTCCTTCAAGGCTTTCCATCCACTGTCCCTGGTAAATAAACACTATCTCTTTATCAGGAGGCCGACAAAACCCATCAGCCAAGGTTGCTACACAAACTGGAGCCCAGTTTCACCCGCTGGCTGCTGAGTTTTTGCCCAGATTTGAGAGCAGGGGTGGGCAACGAGACAGATTCCCCCCTTGATCTCCTCACGGTGCCAGGCCGGAGGCAGTACCCAAGCCGCTGTGACCAGCGGTATCAGATTCAGTTAACGGGGAAGCTGTGCTGCAGATTTTCAAGAATCTTAAATAACACTTGACGCTGCTGGATTCCCTCATCCACGTCCCCATAAACCAACCCCACAGCTCCCTGCTCTCAGGAATCCCCACGGTGCTGCCGGATTAGGGATACAAGGGTCGAGAGCACGTTGTGAAACTGCAGATTAACTGATTAATGAAGTGTTTGATTACTAGAAGAAAGCAAAATCAAATGATTAATGAACTAGCCAACAGGCCAGCACCTGACTGCATACATTCTTGATTGGACTCCCTCGGTGACAAGCTCATTAAGCTGTAAGTGCTAAGCTTGGCCACGTCAGCAGTTTAAAAACCGCTGAACCCCTTGGCACTGCATTTTTTTTTCTCTCCAACGTCAAGTCTCAGACCCTACCTTTGACATCGGGTAACAAAAATAAATAATGAAGTCATTCAGGCCTGGAGAAGAAGGAATGCGTCTCATCTATCACCTGCACCTAGTTTTCTAGCAGACCCCAATCATTCAGACCCACAGCAAATAATTTAAGTGGCATACACTCCCAGTCACTCGTATACATAAATATATACACAGAATTACTTTACAAAGCCTGAAGATTTGCACTACCAGCATGCAAATCTCTCTTTCCTCCACGAGAGTTCCCAATACTGACACAGGAGACTGGAATGTACGAGATACTCCGTAACACAG